TGAAAATGATTTCTTAAAAAGGGGTGAAACCTGTTCTTCTAGTGAGGACTTTCAGGCAGATGTGCAGGCCGATGTGCAGTGGAGCGGTCGTCGGGTGGTGTTCGTTAGTTTGGAGCCCTTCTACTGTAAACTGATGGCTCCTGGGCTGTAAACTAACATTAAACCTATATGTTATAATTGTAGTTGAATGACACTTAACATACCGTCTTGATAGTATACAGCTAAACGCATTATGTATTTTTCTATTTTTCATTCTGCTAAAAAGTCTACTATAACCTGTAACTCGCTTAAGACAACCCTGTAGTATTTAGATTGCTAATGCCTGGCATGTACCACACAATAGCGGTTCACCCCCCCGGACTCTACCTGACCTCCGTAGGGTTGAGGTTTCCCAGGTGTTGACCTATCACAGCAGCGCGTGTGTTCAGTTCGACAGGTCACTGCAGCTGCCCAGTCAGTGTTCCTCATGGTCATATACCTAACTGGTAAACCAGTTCGGTTTTCTAGCCTGGCCTTCTCCCGTGTTTAGGGAAGGAATGTATCTCCTCCTCATTACGGTCGGCCTGCTTATCGTGCTTCCAGTCTAGACTGACGGGGATTGACAACAGGGGACATTTCTCTCTCAGCAGTCACACACATCACAAGATGGCATCTGACAGCATACCAATTTCAGCCACACCAATACCACACACACACACACACACACACCACACACACACACACACACCACACACACACAACCACACACACACACACGAGCCTCCAAGAACTTGCGTTGAATCCTCAATAAAAGCTTTTTTTTTAGCAAGCCCACCGATCCTGATGACTGCCATTGTAACTGTCTGTCTGGTCGAAACCTCCCTCTCTTGTTAATATTCAGTCTTGCCATTTGCTTGCACTGTTTGACCCTGCGCCTTGGCCTCGCCCGAACGTTCCTCAAGCTAATCGGGTTCCCACCGCTCTTTAGGCGGCTCGCTGCTATTGCATTGCTAGCAAGCTAAGAAGTTCTATTTAATAGGCCGCGAAGGCATTATCTTCATCACAGCCAGACGTGCTTTTACAAGCAGCACGGCACAGTTACAGCTAGCTTAATACTGGTCTCTCCATTAGGCCCAGTTTTTACTTGCCTGCAGTTTGGCATGTGTTCGCCTGTGGCATGCAGAGAAGCTTTACCCCAAGCAGATGCACTCGGCCAGCGGCTGCCAACTACCAAACTACATTTTGGAGAAGGGAAGCCTTCATGCAAGTACACTTGGTTGAATAAAAGCACACAATTTAGTACTCGTTGGTTGTTTGGACGGAGCGCTCAAAAATGTCTACAAAAAACAGTTTTAAAGACTTCTAAAGTAAAAAAAGCACTGGGGAAATTTCCTTAACTTGCTTTTATGCTTGTTCATACTAGCTTATATGATATTTTTAAGATGGTTAACTGTTAAATCATATCTTCATTCATCATCATATCCTCGTCAAAAAAGACTTTATCTAGACAAATAAAAAGCAATCATGAAGGAAAGCCAGGAGGACTGTAGTTAAGAGACCTCTGGATGTTCCCTGACTCAGCAGGTATGTTCTTCTCTTCCTAAAGCACGGTCAAGATGCCTCCTAGCTTGGGCAGAGCAGCTTTGGCAGCAGTTTTTGTCGGTGGGGTGTTAACTTTCCCAGCTATTGCGCTTGTCTGTCTCCAGATTGCCGCTGCGTCTCCCCGCTGATTTCTCCCTCGTCTTCACTCCCCACCCATGCCACCCTCTCGCCTCTCCACATTTGCCTCCTCTCTGTTGGTGGCTCTCCCTGTGGCTGCGGCTGTCTGTTGGTGGGTAGGGTATAAAAAAGGATGAACTGTGCCCAGGTAGCCAGGAGGTGGGGGGGGGCACAGGATGCATGAGTCATCCCACCCAAAACCCCGTCGACTGCCCAGAAAAGACCTGACATTTAGAAACCATCCTCTTTATCCTCCTGTCCTTCCTTCCCTTTTTTGTGTTTTACTGCTCCACACCCACACTGCGGGTGTCCACTCTCTGCTTATTGTGCACATTTTTTCATTCTCTCTCGCTCTTCCTCCGTCCATTGTCCTCACCCTCATTTTTCCAGGTTTTTATTTAAAGTTTTCAGCTTTGCTTCAAACCTTGCCGTCTCATTCCTGCGCCTCTCTCCTGCTGCCCCTTTCCTTTTTTATCATTCTCCTCCCGTCTTCCCTCATCTCTCAGGTAGCTCTGTCCCCTCTTCGCGGCCCCCCCCCTCCCCCCTTCCTCAACACATACCTCTTCCCTGCCCATCATTTCTTACTCCCCTCTTCTCTATCCTCTCCTTCTGTCTCTGTCCACAGCTCCATTTCCCAATACTTAACCACAAAACCGTTACCAAAGGGCAACTTGCACACGCACGATTTAGGAAAACAGCAGGCGCACACACAACACACACACACACACAACACACACAACACACACAAACACACACACACACCACACACACACCACACACACACACACACCACATCTGAGTTCACTTTACTGTCTGCTGGTTCTTTTTTTATATATGTGACTAAGAGAGTCTGTGCAGCTCTGACTTGATGCTGGGACAATAATAGACACGTTGTACATGGTAGGTGGAGAGCGTGGAGAGAGTGACGGGCACCATGGTTCAACCCTCGTACAGAGTCTGTATGCTCCACATGAAATCCAAATGCCAACAACGTCTAAACTGCCAAAGGCGACCGCCATGTTGGTTGGAGGCACGCTGGTTACAGATATTACGTGGCTCCTGCTAGCAGTGCCAGTCATCCCACCACACTTCCTGTTTCAGGCACTTGAGAGCAACCTTCCCAGGGCTCAGTAGCCAGGAAATGCCTCTCTACGCCTGCTACAAGTGCCGCAGGGCACGCCTCGAGATGGAGGCAGTAGACAAGCTTGTGTTCCCTGCAGAAAACTACTCATCACAAGCACCTTTATTTTTTTTATTTAGCCTCAATTTTGTTTATAAAATTCTTAAGGGATAAGATACAAAAGGCACCTTTTTTATGTATTTATTTAAAGTGGATTTTAGTGAAAGTTTGGTTTGCACATTATTAATCAGTTCCACCAATCATAGCACTCCCTTAAGCGAGCAGCATCGTATTCATTTTTAATAAACTTCTCTGCGATACACAGACTTTGTGTCTCTGATAGTGTCTTCACCACGGCCCTCTCGCTCTCTCCCGTTATCAGAAATGAGTCGCCAGACTGCCACCGCGCTGCCCACAGGAACCTCCAAGTGTCCCCCCTCCCAGCGTGTGCCCACCTTGTCAGGCACCACCGCCTCCAACAGTGACCTGGCCAGCCTGTTTGAGTGCCCTGTCTGCTTCGACTATGTCCTACCCCCCATCCTGCAGTGCCAGTCCGGACACCTGGTATGTACTGTCCAGCCTGGAAAGTAAGCAGAGCCCGGTTTGAACGCACTACGTTTCAGATGTCATATCGACTGTCCTGCATTACTGTGTGTGTGTGTGTGTGTGTTTGTGTTGTACCTATTCTGCATAAAGTTAAATGCATGCAGGTTTTGGATGACCTGCAGGAGCTTAAATTCAGGTGTACTAATGTCTGCTGTAGTATTGATCACGAGGAGGCGAAGCAGTTCAGATAAAACAGGTTCTCAAAATAATAAAGTCAATAATAAAGTCGTCTCTAAAGAAGCTTCCTTGAGAGTAAATCTGTTAATGAAACGACTCATGATGGCTGACAAATGTATGTTTATACATTTTATTTCTAGACTCATCTTGACCCCGAGTGTAACTCAAAGGAAAATGTTCAAGCTACAGGCTTAAATGTCAGTTGTACTTGAACTGAACTAAAAAGAAAGTTAGAAATATGCACATACTGAGAAATGTGGAATTAGCCAATCAGGATACAGGAAATGACAGAGTGTGGCCACCTGATGACCTTTCAACATCCTCTCCCACTCTAACAGAACATCATCACAGGTAAAACTACTAACTCTTTCCATCTCTCCCTCCCCAGGTATGCTCCAACTGCCGGCCCAAGCTCACCTGCTGCCCCACCTGCCGAGGCCCCCTGGGCTCCATCAGGAACCTGGCCATGGAGAAGGTGGCTAACTCGGTCCTCTTCCCCTGCAAGTACGCGTCGTCGGGCTGCGAAGTCACCCTGCCTCACACCGACAAGACGGAGCACGAAGAGCTGTGCGAGTTCCGGCCGTACTCGTGCCCCTGCCCCGGCGCCTCCTGCAAGTGGCAGGGCTCCCTGGACGCGGTCATGCCTCACCTGATGCACCAGCACAAGTCCATCACCACACTGCAGGTCAGACACTCTCCTCAGCTTAGTTAACCCATACTTGGGACTTGGGTCAATGGATCCTGGCTTCTGCTGCTGGAGTACCCCTTTAAATCTTACAACCCCACTTTAAGGGGACCTATTATGTTCATTTCCAGTCCTATATTCTTAATCGGAGACTCCAGTAGAGTAGCTTTGCATGATTCACTCTTCACAAACATCTTTATTTATCTACTGACGGCCCTCAGTTCATCCTCTGTCTGAAACAAGTGTCTTAATCCTCTGCTCCCTAAAAGCCCACTTTCTTCAGATTAGCCAGCTTTGCAGAAGCCTGCTGAGGGCCAGTCAACACAAACACACGTCAGCAGTCAACACCGCCTCGCCCTCTAACCAGTGTGCTCTCAACACAATGACAGCTTCACTACCTTAGCTTGAACAGTAGCGATGAATTTGATGAATTTACTGTTTCAGACCATAAATTAGACAGGAATTAAGTTGGATAAATCATAGATTGGGCTGGGCTTCAACTTGTATAACTTTATTCACTGATTTTGGTGAAACTGGATCTTATTTTATGGAGAACACACTTTCTGGCTTTCCCTCTGATGTCCTCCGGCTGCTCTGCTTTAACTTACAGTGATTGATGTAGTCTCATGATGGAAATATAGCTGCTGTTAGCTGCTGTTAGCTGCTGTTAGCTGCTGTTAGCTGCTGTTAGCTCTGTTAATACCGAAGAGCTGAAGCAGAGAAGCTGCACGGCATCAGAGGAAAAACAAACAACTCGTGCACAGACTTCAGACTGTAGATTTAGCCCTGAGCAGTAGTATAACGTACTTTGTGGGTTCAGCCGTGCTCTGTCTGGAGCAGATATGAAGAAATCTGTGATGATGGTGTGGGATGAAACGTTGCTTTGAGAGCAGTCGGAATCCTTTTTGCTCTCAGGGATTACTCTTACCCACGTTAACCTCATTATTTGGTCTTGTTTAATATCAACACCCAACAATGTGACATTATAAATATGACAGAAGCATATTAGGTCCCCTCTAGCAGCCAACCGGCTCCTGCTCATAATATTTTGTTTAGAAGAGACGACTGCTGCCTGCCGCATGTTCAGTATCCTGAATACGCTCCCCAGACATCCCGACAGTTGGCATTTCCATCACTTTCACACTCCCTCCTACGACATCGCCGCGTTTCACAGGGCTGAATAAGCTATATGTGCATGCTGCATGATAAATAATGCTATTTTAATTTGTGTGTATTTTTTATTTTATTTTTAGTCTAGTTTGAAATGTTGGAATTCTCAAAAGCATTTAGGTTTCACTGTGAAAGTAGATTCACTGTATTTATAACGGATCTCAAGTTTAGAGCCTTATTAGACTGTAGCCTTAAGAAATGATGACTGAACCTGTAAAGTGTCTGTGTGTGTGTCTGTGTGTCTCTGTCCAGGGGGAGGACATCGTCTTCCTGGCCACGGACATCAACCTGCCGGGCGCGGTGGACTGGGTAATGATGCAGTCCTGCTTCGGCTTCCACTTCATGCTGGTGCTGGAGAAGCAGGAGAAGTACGACGGCCACCAGCAGTTCTTCGCCATCGTGCAGCTCATCGGCACTCGCAAGCAGGCGGAGAACTTCGCCTATCGACTGGAGCTCAACGGGCACCGGCGCCGCCTGACCTGGGAGGCCACGCCGCGCTCCATCCACGAGGGCATCGCCACGGCCATCATGAACAGCGACTGCCTGGTGTTCGACACGTCCATCGCACAGCTGTTCGCCGAGAACGGCAACCTGGGCATCAACGTCACCATCTCCATGTGCTAAGAACTTTCAAAGAGGAGAGGGTCAAAAAGTTACAGATTGTCAGGGGGCATTTTTTAGGGGGGTCAAATCAGTTGTGACCTCACAGCGCGCCCCCTCTCTGCCTCACCCCTTGAGACGTGGAACTGGACTGTCTGATCGGGCAGCCGCGGAGGCCCAGGGGGTGGGATGGATGGATGAATGAATGAATGGGTGAGTGGAGGAATGATGAATAATCACAAGGACATAACTGTGTAGTGATGGCTATAGACTCCTAAACACACATAAACGTATATATGTGAGACTCGTGCACGCACATGTGGTCTCGCGCTGTCGGTCATAAACAACGGACACAAACTGAAAAGCTGTTCGGTCAAACTCGCTTTGTCAAACTCTCGTCCCTTCCAGCGATCTCCCGCCACTCGTATTTTAGTGTCACTCTCTCTCTTCCTCTCAGTCATCCTCAGACATTTCAGACACTACAGTTCTCCGACCTTCACTCCGAGACGGGGGAGGCTGATCGCCACCGAGCGGCCCGGCGCCCCCCCCTCCCCCCCGACAGCTACACACTGAGGAAAAGGCTCAAGCTATATTTCAACACGGACTCCTGGTCAGTGCTGGGCAGCCAGCTACCTATCTCGCTCCCCCTGCAACCTCCACCTCGTTCCCTGCTGTTTGTGATCCACCTCAGACCTCCCGGATCGAAGCGGCTCACCGACTCTCGGCTGCGGCCGGGTTTCACCACAGCGGGCGTCTTCATGCATTAGCTAGCTCAAAGTGGAACCCAGAGCCCAGGAAGTTCCTTATCGCAGATTTGGGTTTATATCTTAACATGCGACTGACGCGGCTATCGACCGGCTGGGACTGGAACCACCACCGGCATACGGGGGACGGCTGTAGCACCCCGAACCCGCCCAGTTCTGTCCAGGACTGCGGTAAAGGAACTCGGCCTGTAGAAGATCCGTACAGGCTCATCTGGGTTCCCTCGGCCCACATCTGGTCCACCCAAGGCTAAAGATTGTGCATCGGACGCTCTTTAAATAGTTGACTGTCGTCGTTGATAGTTATTAGAACAGACTCTGCTCTCATACTGTACGGATTTAAGAAGGCCCTCAGCTCCATCAGCCCTGGACTTTTTTATTTAGATTTCCACGGAACGGACGCAGCGGTGAAGTTCTCGCACACGCCCGTTCTTTGCATCGCCGGCTGTGTGCGCAGGTGTAATGGTGGATGAATTTGGTGTGTGTCGGAGTGGCCGAGGATCAGAGCGGTCTTTTTCGTTTTTTGTTTGTTGGTTGTTTTTTCAGAACGAGGCAAAAAAAAAAACACTGCATTTCAGTTGAGTCAGTTTTCTTTTTGAGGTTTATTTCTCAAGTCTGTTGTTTCTTTTTAATTATTTTAGTTGTCTTTTTTGTATGAGTGGAGAGAAGAACTCCTGATATTTGTGTGTGTGTGTGTGTATGTGTGCGTGCAAGACGGACATGTGGCAAAAAGCCTGCTCACTCTCTTCCTTCTCCTCTCCCCGCTTCTTCTTCCCGTTTCATTTCTGCTCTGGCTCCATCTCGCTGTCTGCCAGCCTCAACCACTGATTGACTGATCACCCAACCAGGAAGGAGGGACAGTTTCTACCGTTACAATGTTGCTATTGTTATTATTAAATGGAGATTATCATGATTATCATTTTTTGTAATGACTTTTAAAAACAAAGATTAAAAGGCAGTTGTAAAACTTGTGGCTAAACTTCAGTGTTTGTAGTTAAAAAGCAAGTTGTGTCGTTCTTCTGAAGGTTTGTTTTTTCAGAGTTGGATTGTTTTTCTTCTCATCTATTTGTCTCTCCGTCCTCTTGTTTGTGTGGTAAGTCTTTTCTTTTTTTTTGTCTATGAGTAGGGAGGGAGGTCAAGCCAATCATCTCTCCCTTTCTCTTCATGTGGAGTCACAGTAATGTTGCTGCTCTCCCTCAACTCCTTTTTTTTCTGTTTTGTCATTAAATAAATCTATCTTTTTCATACCCGGTGCCTTTTCTTCTTTTCTTTTATCATAGGCCTCACACTCGCTGCGTTTTTCAATCCAATACTGATGGTGTCAGTCTGTCTGTATGCACCTGCACGAGTGACAGTTATTGGTGGTTGTTGGCAAAATGTATTAAAAGACTTGCAGATGTACAGGGGTGTTTCCAGACTCTTAACTAGAGGGGCACTGACACACAGGGGTGGCATTGAGTATGTGTCTTGTCCAGTACTGTTTATGGATCCCAGTATGCACAAATATTCTGATACACTAGTTGAAATAACACATTTAGCACAAAAAACTGCATGGTATTAGCATAAAGTGGGTGTGTCTGCGAAGGGGAGACTTGTGGGTAACCATAATATCCATTCTCATTCAGATATTGAGGTCAAAGGTCAAGGGACACTTGAAACGGCCATGCTAGTTTTTCCATCACTAGTTTGAGTGTTTCCTTACAGCCTCTTCAGATACACTGAGCGCTCCAGTCAGCACATTCACTATACCAATTGTCCATGATGAAACATGGAAATGTAGGTTTTAAATGAGAACATTTCCACCTCGAGGTTAGATTGATTTGTCAAGGGTTTTTTTTTTAAGGTCAACAACGAAGTTTGAAAGTGCAAAGAAATGCCCGAATTTAACATGATGATGAACAGGCAACACTTACACGGCACCTTTCTAGTTTTCACACACCAGAATTTCAGTTAAGTTCAGTATCTTGTTTGAACCGCCAACCTTCTGATCAGTTGACAACCCGTTCTACCTGCTGAGCCACAGCCACACCTCGTTCAAGCCCACAATTGATAGTACCTGTTCATCTGTGCTGGTAGAAATGCATGCATATATCATTCCACAGGCTTTTTCCTAAAATGCCTGATGATGATTTCCTAAAATTTTTTGCCATGAAATCACAGGAGAAAGAGGAAATTGCAACGAAAAAAATGATTGTTTTTGTATAATTCATTAAAACTCAAAGGCAGCTTGTTAGAAAAGTATGGTGTCAAATTTGTTGCAGTGATTGGACATAATTGCGAGGTTGAATTCACGGTTATTGGTTGTATTTGCGTAAATTAACAACTTCCTAAAGGGACTGAAATATACAAAATGGTACCAGTTCATTCAGTAATGGTCAATAAAAACTTCTGGAAGTTTGCAAGAGCTGCTACGAAGGAAATGTTTTGCATTTTCTCTAGAAAATTATGTTCCAGGAAGTCCCCGGTTCAGGTCCCCGTCAGGAGCGAGGTGGTTCATTTCCCACTGTGTCTCTGCTCGGTACAGTCAGGCTGTGTGTGATTGGGCTGGGCAGTCAACCCCCCAGGTGTGCATCTTTATTACCGCATCAGGGGAACATGTACAGTCTCAGCAAAGCTTAAGCTAAATATGTTGACACTGCTAATCCATATTTCAAGGCCACTCATCACGAACCACGTTTTGTTTCAGCTTCTTCCCAAGATCAAGTAAAACGCCTCAAAACATGAGGGTCAAACTAAATCAATGCTGTTATATGCTGAAGTAGAATCAATACGCGGGGTTATCCATGGAGCGCATTATGTTCAGTTACTTTAAGATGCGAGTGCTGGTCAAAACTCTGAGGCCTGAGCTCTAAAATCCCTGCGATACTGTCCTCGATGCATCTGTCGGCCTCCCAAGTTTATCATTGTAAAGTAGGTCTGTGGATGTGGGGCAGCCTGTGAGGTCAGATAGGTAGATCAGACAGGCAGCGTGGAACACAGGAATAGCTTTGTGCAGCCGTAGGAACACTAGCTTTTTTTTTTGCTCAAGATCACTAATGAAAATGTCTATGCTAGTGTTACTGAGCAGCCTTCTGTCGGTCAAAGGTTACACAGGGCTCTCTCACAGTCACAGTAAGGGACTGTACAAAAATTATCTGTGGGTGGTGGAGGGGTCCGAAGAGGGGGAGCGTATTAGGGCTGTCCCCAACTTAAGATTCTCCTAGTCGACTAGTAATAGTTAGTTAAGTTTAGTTAACACAGTATAACATTGTACAGGCTGCGTTGTTCAAAACACGGAAGAAATAACTTTCAACTTCACAAAAACAAATACTCGCTTATCGACACAACAGATGATGGATAGCGTTAACAGTTACTTACAAATTAACTTGCTTCTCTCCAGTTTAAGGCCTCTCCTGTCCCCGCCTAAACCCACCTTGTCTTCATCGTCCCAGGAGTCAGAGTCCTGGTTGGAGCCGCTGTAAATCCCCTGGCCTCCGTCGCCTCCGTCGCCTGCTCGCCCAGCTCCGGTTCATTCCCCTCTCCCAGCGCAGCCCTGTCAGAGTAGAGTCAGCTAATGGCAGTTAGTACAGTTAGCCCACGCAGCAGAATCAGAATCAGAAGTACTTTAATATTTCCAGGGGGAAATTACTT